CAGAGTTTGGCGCCCTATATCCACTGAAGCATCATAGGCGCGTAGTATGTCCAGTCCCAGGATGAGCTCATCGGTGATATTCGCGACGAAAATCCACATCGTAATAGGTTGGCGCCCTAGGGTAAGGGTCAGCAGAACTTCTTTCAGTATGGGCAGGGATCCTCCAGACACGGTCTGCAGCGAGAAATCTGGATCTGGCTGTCTTTCAGGCCATCCGGCGGCGATATCCGGTCTTACTACGGTGACGTATGCTCCCGTGTCCACTGTTACCTGGCACGGCTTATCACCGACCCATCCCTGGGTGACCAGACTGGTGTTGGCTTTCTCCGTCATGTCGGTGAGTGCGTAGTGTGGGGGCCTTAACGCATATGCCGGCGTTCGCCCATCTCCGCCGGCCGTTGCTCGTTTCCCGACGGTTGGTCCTTTCTCCAGCTTGTTTCCCTGTTGTTTCAGGGTCGCCATTCTGATTTCTCCGGCGATTCCCGTTTATTTCTTGGAGGTCCTTCTCTTCGGTCCTGATGCTGTCTATTGCCATCTCCTCGTTGGGTGGGGAACGATCGGAACTTTGTGCTATCTCCGTGAGGTCTGGCCGCTACCAGTACCGCCTGCAGCTCTAGCGCTTGTCGGAGGGCCTCGTTTACCGTCTTTTCCCCTCCCAGCGAGGAGATGACAATAGACAGCATCATGTCACAATAGTAACATAAGTGATGAAACTCAGTCTAAACTAGCAACTATTAGCAAAAACAATACTGAAGATAAATATGAAGATAGTAATTTCCTGCATGAATTCTTACATTTCAAATCTCATGCAGAATAACACAATGAACAATTCGATCATTACTTAGGCAAAATTCCCTAACAAAATGTTAATGGAACAGTAAATAACAGTATCATCATTATAGCACTCACCTTCCCTTTTAATCAGATTCATAATATAACAAACGAGGTTTTGAGAAACATATTCGAATTCTTAATTCAAATCCAACATACAATAGCTCTCTGCTTAACAGCAAATTATTCATCAATTATTGTGTTACTCAATGTCATTTTCCATCTCCATTGGTTACATAGTTTAAAATGATAAAACAAAAGTGAATGATAAACTAGAAAGTGTAGTGAAGAAAGCAATTATGACCTATTGCAAAGCACTGTCACAGCATACCCTGGAATGACTTTAGAACCTCTCTCAGCATGTTTGGTCTCTCGACTGAGGTTTGAGATTTGAAGCTCTTGAATATGAAGCAGGAATGTAACCATTTGAATGTGGACTTTGCTCATGGGCATAAAAAGTTACATTTACTGTAACGTGTCATTTGTTCGACGTATGTGTCATGGCTGGACCAATAAGATGAATTGTAATCATGGTTACAAAATATGGTGAAAGAGCACAGAAACAGAGAAGCATTGACAACAGTATTGTCTGCACATCATCACATGCCATATGCCAGATAAAATAATAATTAAAATAAACAGTCATACATTTGACATATGAGAGTCTCATTAACAGGAAGCAAATAATCTAAACTCAGTACTTATCATATAGAGCCACATGTTCATGATATGAAGGATTTAGAGTACTTACCTGTGATTTCTTGGCTGGACTTGCTGCTATCTTAGGGGAATCCCATTCAAGAGACTCTGCAGAGTCAATGCTTCCCCGGCTATGCACATCTAGTACAGGAGCTGGAAAATAATCTGATATTTCAGATGATGTGCTGTTTTTTATGGTAGTGAGACTGTACAAGCCTGCAAAGCACACACGTGCTTTCTCTTGCTTTGAGAATTCTTGATGCCCTGCATCTGTGTCCAAGTTGGACTCTAAAGCACTAGAAGCAAGACTACTGTTGGAAGCTTTTGCTTTCATAAGACTGGACATCCCTGGGAGATTCCGATTGCATTTGATCATCTCAAACTCTTCATCCATCACTTGGCAGTTGGTTTTAAGCTGGTCAATCTCCTGCTGCAGTTTTTCCATGCACAGCATTGTGCCATTGTCAACATCTGCAAAGCTGTCTCGTAAGAAGTCAAGACTTAAATCAGAGAATGTGCTATCAAAGGAACCATCACGGGGCAGCCGTTTGGAAAATCCAAGGGAATCATAAGACTCATCCCTAATAAGGCTTGTACCAAACTGCAAGTTTTGTGTACCATTACTATCTCCATCAGGGTCGCCTTGTTGCCATTCCGTCTCTGCACCTTCAGGGCTTAAGCGTTTAGGCCCAGTTAAGCGAAAATTCTCTCTCAAATCAAGCTGAAACTCAGAACCCAATCTCCTTGCTTCAGCACAACTTAGTCTTATGGTTGGGCTTTGAGATGATGGAAGATTAAGCCATGCACTTTCAGACAGCTGTAACAGTCAGTTTACCACATTCTAAGCTACAAAGAATTCACCACTCTATTTCTATTACATCTTATCTACTAGAGCATCAAAGTCTAGTTTTGATCCACTACTGTATTATAATGTTTCACTGAGAAGAGCAGCAGCCATGGCATTGATGACAATTAAACCAACCTGCAACCTGTCTGGTGTGGAGGTCAGTATTTTACTGATTCTGTCAGTCAGCCAGCCAGACTTGTTATCCAGTGGCTGCCTGGCAAAACGTCTTGAGCTTGAACCCAAACGCCTTGAACCCAAGGGCCGGAATCGTGGCTGTAAGGATGAGTTTCTTGAGCAACGCAAATGATATTTTTGTTGCTGCTGTAACACATGGAGATGTTTTGGAGATTTCTCCCCTTGGCTCCCATCAGAAACATCTGCATCACGTCCTTCCTCTTCACCAGATGTACCACTCTGAAATCATTCAGCAAGCCTAATGTATTATTCAACATAGAACAGTCCCAATTTTTCACTGTTACATATACATACTGAATTTTATGTGTAATGAGAAAAACTGAAATTGCACGCCATTTAAAATGTCAAATTGAATGTGAATTAGTAAAATATAATTTACATGCTAAGCTTTCTAGAAAAATTAGAAAATTAAAATGTCATTCATTATAGGAAAATTGTTTAAAATGTTTAACTTGTCTCCCTTAAATAACACTGATGAGAAATTCAAAAGAAGTTAATTGCAGCTTTTATTTCAATGTCAAAAAGATACGTGCAATTTATTTGAATTCTTATACCACTCAATGGATGAAAAGAACAGATTAGCTGAAAAATTAAAACTTGAGATCAAAGTAAGCAATGCCTCAAAACATTATTCAAAATACAGCATTGATACAGCAAAATACACTAATTTACACTCTGATAATGTTCATGAGAGTAACAGTACTCTTTCATCACATAATTTCCCCTTAAAAATCAGTGCCTATGAAAATATCTTAGGAAAGATCTGGTTCCCATGGACATAAGATTAGCTCTCTGTTCAAAGTACAATTTACTTATTTTTGCTTTCAACTTATTCTCATCAATCCAAACCATACTAATTTTTGTTTAAGCTCTTGGCTTTATATTTGTCAGTAGTAGAAGAAGGAAGAAGAGATGGAAATAGATTAATTAAGAAGGAGACAAACAACAGAGAGAGGGACAAAAACAACATATGAAATATATTATGAAAGACTCCAAAGGGGAAGCACAATAGATCATTGAAGGTCACAGTTCGAGGGCCAGTTTTTATGGCTCACCCCTCATACTCATACTCATACTCATATTATGAAAGAAAATGATTGGTATAATTCTTCACACTTTTGTGATTAAAACAGATAAGATCAGATGTTTGTGACGATTCTGGAACAACTGCACAAACCAGAAAGGAGATAAGACAAGTCAGTAAAACTTAAGGTGAAATATGTGGAACAATTGCAACAAGGGAAAATTTGTATACAAAATGCAGCTGAAGAATGAATGTACAAGCAAAATGCCACAAGCTACAGACTGACAGTTCTTAAACTATTCAGAAGGGTAGAACTGAACCCCATTACTAAATTCATATCCCTTCAAGGGAATAATAAGTAAGTTTTGATACTATGACCCAAGAAGTTCTTCCTGATGTGAAGACCTTTGTTATATATATTACTGGGGCAGAAGACAGAAATGAGTGAAAGAAATTTTTGTATCCAGAAGAGTTTTCAAGGTATTAAGAGGAAATGAAATGGGTCCTTGTTCTTACTGCATCAGAATAAGCTGCTTCAAGCAAACTGTCATGTGGCATTTTAAAAGAGGAATATAAATGCACATTTCGACTACTGGTTCTCTCAACATATGATCTACAGCAAAGTCCATCTAGTTAACTTACAGCAGCAGCTGTACACCCAATTTTTGTCAAACACTGTAAAACAAAATGTATCGAAAACAGAATCTGGAATAATGGAGAACTTGTCTTTATTGTAAAATTTCCCAGGTCCAATAAATAGAGAAATTAAGGTAAAATTACTTATAATAAACATCTAATAATCCAAATATTTCAATTTTTTTCTGAGAAGCAACATTCCTATTTGAAAAGGAAACGAATTAAGCCAGAGTAACAATAGAACACGTGCTGAATATTTTACTGAACTATTAGAACAAGAAAGAAAGCAAAATTAAAATGTATACTGTCTAGTAACAGTGCACTGTTTTCCTACACATGACTTAGATAATATACATTAACGTACATACACAAATATAGTGGAACCCCCATTTAATATTAGTTAATTTAAGATATATCTTCATTTAACATTCAGTTTCGGTGATCCCAAGTTTATAATCTCAGCGTTAAATTGCTTCTATTCAAGATATGCCTCAGATTAGTGTTCAAATCCACTGCTCTCAGAATGAAATTTAAACAGGGTTTCACTGTATATGGATACATGCAGGGAATAATTTTCTGTATAGATATAAGTACCTCTGTGAATTGAATATACAACTAAAATAAGAAACTGTTCTGGTTCCTTAGAATCTCATTATAATAAAGTTTTACTGTGTCTGAAAAGATTCAGAGTTTAAGAAAGGTATTTGAAGTTATTTCCATTTGTTTATGACAACTATCAGCAGCAGCATACAACCAATGCAAATCAAACCAGCCTTCAAATCTATTTATGGTGGGGGATGGAGAGTGTGTACTCCCATTGGCGAGACAAATCAATTACTACACATGTAGTTCGTTATGGAATAAATGTTGGGTACTTGAATATTTAGTCGAATTCAACATATCTTATCCAAAACAGCATGCCATTCATAGTTCTGCCACAATAAATACTAAAGTAACAGAATTATTACTGTAAACTAGAAAGAAGGATATGACAGGATGAGATATAAACTTGACTTGAACCAGTATTCCAAATAGAAAGCAGGCAAAATACAGTGTATGTCATATCCAAGCAAGATATCAAACATGTTGCCTGTAAGTACTCTATCAATTTGGAAACAAGTGTTTGTATTTGTTCCTTAGGTACTTAATGACACTTTACCAGCCTCCAACATGTAATGTTGTTAATCCATCAGATAAAAAGTTTTGTAAATTTTGCATACACTTTCAAGACATTCAAGTAAAATGAATTACATTACATGAACTACTTATTCAGGCATATCAAGTAGTTATTTTAAGAGAGTCAGAACTGACATTCATCAGTTGCAGTTTCCCTCAACTATATGAATGAAGGAGTTGAAAACATTTCTACTTCACAGTACCAAGGACGTCTGCTAGATAATTTTCACTTTGACTTACATCAGAATGTGAAGTTGAGCTGTTAGGGTACGTGGATCCTGATGCAGATCTGGAACATGGGAAACTACTGTTGACAGCTTGAAAGTCCCCATCTCTTGGCACTGGGCTTGGTCCAAAGTAACGACCCTAAAAATGAAATGTTATGACTTTATTTAAAAAAAAAAAATATAACAGCCAAGCATAACAGACTTTCAATTCACAGTCACTGTATTTATAATCAAATATTATGTACATTAAATTAAAAAGGTTAAGGAGAGTTCCTCAAAAAATGAGAAGCTACCCTTACTGCATGGGGACTAATTTAAAAAGGCCAAAAATCACTTAAAAGCCACAATCCAAATGACAGAGACAAAATTAATAGTTTATTGAATGAATACATATTCAAATTACTTAAAGCTTTTGATATTAATACGTGGAAGACTTATGTTAGTGTATGTTCATATAACTAGTATTTCTTAATTTATGGCTGGAACAATTTGAATATGAAGCATGATACTGCTTCTTGGGCGCCTGCTTCTCAACAACTTTGCATATTTGTAACTGGAACTTGGAGACAATGGGCTCTATTTATAGAAACTGTGATTTTAAAAGCATGTATTATTTTTATTGCTAGTGGGGTGGGACTGAGTCCCTTGTACTGTGGCCACTTCTGGCCTATTGTACCAGCCCCAGATGATATGTGAGGGTGATTGTGGAGAATTTGGTGGAATAAAGATTGGCAGGGGAAACCGAAATACTCGGCAAAAACCTGCCCCAGCGCCACTTTGTCCACCACAAATCCCACTTGACCAGACCCGGGATCGAACCTGGGCCATCATGGTGGGAAGTCAGCGACTAACCGCTTGAGCTATGGTGCGGCCTAAAAGCATGTATATTTGAAACCGAATTATTTCTACAGTTTGCATTTTTCAATTTTAAAATTAGCACATGGGCAAAATTCTGAAGTCTGACTTGCCATGTGGGTATTGTAGGTTGCATATTATGATTTTAAAGTCTAACACTTGAAGCTAATGACTCATTATTCACCTCAGTTTCACTGAGTTCTGTGTCCTCCAAATCTTCAAGTAATTGGTCCTCACAATTCTGAGGTTGGATTATCATTAACGTATCTTTTGGACATGGACGTGGGCGTGGCCGAGGGCGAGGCCAGTAGTGGTTACAGATTTTGTAACACACTAAGCTGCCAACTCCCAAAAGAAGAATCACACCAGTTGCCTTCACTGCAACAAGAAGCTATATTAATTTAACAAGTAACAGGATTTCTTAATGCAAAAATTTCAGCCATCTTGCTGTGACTATACACAGACAATCCTGAAGGACACCCTAGGACTTTAGACCTATAATCTGCATTAATTTTCTACCTCTCACACAAGGCAAGTTTCTTCAAACCATTGGGAAGTTTTCACCATTATGTCTGGCATTTCATCCTGTTGATCTCTGAAATAGTAATGTTGTTTCCCTTGGGTACTGAGTACAGATCGGGGGAGTGGGGAAGCATCTAGCCCCCCCTTTAGCACTTAGACCTCTACCCTGTTCACTTCATTTTTGTTAGAGCCAAAAACCTCCAAACTGAAGAGCTCTTAGTTTTCACTGGCTCTATGTATGCAGAGACAAATGTCATAGATCTATACCCAGTCAAGTTGGGCTCCAACAGATTTTTACCTTATCTCTAATGCACTGATAGTAACAGTGATATTCATAATAATGTAACATGAAAACAGTGGATAACAAGGACAAGGGTAAACAATGTCACAGTATCAGCCCACATGCTTTTGGAAACAAAGGGTTTTGGGAAAGATAATATAACAAACTCGATCATTATTATTATTATTATTATTATTATTATTATTTATTCAGCATTCCATAAATCCTTACATGGTTTTTTCAAAACACCACGGATATAGAAGTAGTCAACATGANTGAGATTCCTTGCTTTTTATGTAACCCAAACTTCTTTATCATTATGGACGTTTCGTTTATATAACTATAATATATAACAGTTTGTTATATATTTATATATTATTTGCTACATGTTTTGGTCATGGAAGCCATATTCAGCCAACTGGAATACTCATTATTGCCTGCTGTGAATCTGTACATTGTACAGTGTACAGGTTCACAGCAAGCAATAATAAATGTACAAACTTCCAGAAGATGACCTATCAACTAATAGATATATAATAAACCAACCCCCGCGGTGACGTAACAGAACTTCCCACTGTGACGTAACAGGGGACACCGCAGTTACTACGTGGCAACAGGAGACAGTACAAGAAGCTGGCTGAGCGGTGTGAGAGAGTGTGGATTGTGAAGTTGCCAAGGGCAGTGGAAGTCTAGCAGTCGCTGAGTGCAGAGTGGAAGTCTAGCAGGTGCTCAGTTACTCAGAAATTCTCCTACCATTTATGGAATTTGAAGTTTCATTACAATGCTAAGAAGCTCTGACACTGGTTCCTATCCTAAGCCAGATGAATCTAGTCCACTCCCAACCACCATACTTCTTCGTGAAACATTTAAGTATTCTCTTAAAAATGCTCAGGTGTTATAAGAGATCACTTTCTTTAAGATTTTCTGATCAACTTTTGTATGCATTTCTAGTCTTCTGTGTGTGCTATGTACCAGGCCCCTCATCTGCCTTGATAAGATCATCCTAATCATGTTTGCTGCAGAGGACCAATTCTAAAGCACCCCCATTATCCAGACATCTCCAGTCTCCTGTGGCTACCTTCTCTTTTAAGTCCAAATATTCTCCTCAGAACCCTCAACTATGTCCCCCTTTAACACAAGAGGCCAAATGTAACATCCAGTCTTCAGACAGCAGATGGGAAAACAAAGTGTTCTGAACTGAATGATAGCAAGCATTCTCTGAATTCAATCTGCTCTTAATTTCTCCATGAATGCAATTTCTACTATTCTTAAAATTTAATTTTGTCATATTATTGAGGAATTTATTATATCCTGTATTTTATAATTTTGTCCTGCATTCTGGTGACTTCTAGGCCGACCTCCTGAGCATTTAAAAAAATTATGTTTTTCTTTATATGGTCTTCATGCTTTTCACAAATAAATTACATCAGCATATAACAGTAAATGACGCATCTCATTCAGTTTAAATCCTCGATGGTTTTCTTGGTCCTTCTGGCAAAATCTAAAGGAAAGCTGAAAGGCAATAATAATAGAGAATCTCATTAAGTCACAAATGTTCACCTATATAGAATTTACCATAGGGTTTAATTTAAACACATTTTAATTAGTCTAATTTCATGGGTATACCTGATACAGTGAGAATTTTGTACAATACTCCCCTTCTAACCAAACTGCAGGATTTACTGAGGTTTATGAACAACTGGGAGCACATGGATGCATAGTTGGTTGAGGCACTATGCTACAAGCCGGAAGGTTGCGGGTTCGAGTCCCAATAAGGTCACTGGATTTTTCTATTGACCTAATCCTTCCAACTGCATTATGGTTCTGGGGTCAACTCAGCCTCTAACAGAACTGAGTACCAGGAATTTTCCTGGGGGGTAAAGGCTGCCGGCGCATAAGGCTGACAACCTTACTGCCATCTGTGAGCCGACTGTCTAGAAAATGTGGCAGCCTCGACATCTCACAACCCTGTGGGTCTCCATGGCCTGTTACAAGGACAGCTTTACATTTTTCTTACCAATAAACAATCGTTTTACGGGTCCATTGTACTCCATTCCCAGTAACTAGTTAAGATATTTATAACAACTGTGTATGTTCCCTCTTTAAATGGTTAAAATGCGCAATCCGTAAAGATAAGGAGAATATGGCTACATTATTAACCTGCACTTCGCTGTCGCTAGACATCTTCAGGTAATGTTACACGTAGGCGTGAAAACCCGTAATCGTTGGGGCACGACTCTGCATTCTTGCTCTTACGAAGCCCACGCTGTTTCTTGTATACTGACCTGTACGAATGCAGTTCTGTTAACCTTGAAACAGATCATGAGCGCTCCTCTCTCCAGCTTACGCCACTGCCTCTATGAAATTAACACCGCATCTTTACTTTATGTTACGTATGAATAGCATCGCTAGGTTCCGTGGTTTCAAGCGTTTGCATTCTTGTATCAAGGGAACCTGCTGTGTTGTGCCGTCAACCCTTCCGCTGTGTACTTCGTAATACATGCTGATTAATTCCCTGCATTTGAAACACCATCTAATTCGAAACACAAGATACAGTGTTCACATTTTCGATCAAGGTCTAATGCTACGCCAGTTAACATTCAGCCGGCAAAATCTTTCTTTCATAGATTACGGTTCAATCTGTTACATAAATAGCATTGCTTCACATTTCAGAAGATCGTAATCATCCCTTTATTTTTATGCAGTTTATATCCCCTACAGAACGGACAAAATATACTGCAAGATGAGGCACGGGCTAAACAAATAACGTCAAAACTATATTACATCTATACCAAGGGCCTCCAAGCAGTTTATTACATGTACACAAAATCTAGAATATAAATGTTGCAACAACCAGAAACTGACTTGATGATATAAAACATCATTGGCAGAGTCTTAACCTTGATTTACCCGATAACTTTCGTTTATATAGTCTAGTTCAGGAATGTCCAACGCGTCGATCGCGGAACGATTTTTGGTCGATCTCATATGCCTATAAGGAAATTATACGTGAAAAGCATGTAAATTCACTTGTAATATAAAATATGAAAGAGATCATAGCTACTATTCAAGATCTCTAATTATCAAGAAACACCATTGTGCGGCGAATAGAAATGCTGTGTGGAAACATAACTGAACAGCTGTTGAAAGATATTTCCAGTTGTGTTGCTTTCTCCCTCCAACTGGATGGATCTACAGACATCAGAGACACAGCCCAGTTACTAGTTGCTTTTACAACAAACATCATTTGTCGTGATATTTTTGCTTAAAGCGAGGTACGACGATAGGAGGGGTTTGTAGATCACTGGCAGTTTTGACACTAACAAGTCAATCACAACCTGTTTGAAGTTGGACATGCCTGGTCTAGTTCATTGTACCTTTATGTCAAGCATTTTATAACGTAATACTATCATGCATCCAGTTTTACTAGTCCTGCAGTCCAGTGGTGTGAATATGGTAATCATGTATTTGCCTGATGATGGCTTTAATAGCCGAAACATGTAGCACGAGCCAATCTTGGCCTTGACCTTGATACTGTTGCCTTGTGACGGATTTTAATAAAGAAATTTTACATCCCTCTACTCTCTACACCCTGCCGTCAATGGACGTACAGAGTGTCTTCACGCTGATATAATATTTATATACCCATAATTCATTCTAAATTTGAACCCAGAGCCGCCGTTGACAGAGTTTAGTGCTCTTGCTGTGTATTTCGGTCTCGGATTCGAATCCCATCCCGGTCAACTGCACTAGCGAATATATCGTGGACTACTCACGTCACTCCCAGAAAAGCCGGGGCAAACATAACATACTCCACGATCCACACTGTTTCCAATTAACATTTGGAGTTATCTTACCACTGAAACCTACGAAGTTCAAGAGTGTCGTTACATAGCACAGGAATCGATCATTTTAGAAGACTGTGTCAAATTCGCTGCTTCAACCGAAGTCTTGGCTTGTTAGGTAAGAACTTACTACAATGTCTTATTAATAATGACGACACTGCTCCCACTCAAAACATTATTACATTTGCAAACGCAAGTTCGAAACATGTCTATTGGACTGGCGCCCTTTGGATGTCATAAACAGCCGTAGTGATACTCTCAACAATGATTTTCTTTCGGCTGTCTTACATAATTATACTTCATATGCCTGTAAACTTGGAAACGGTAAGTTTTCATTCTTCAAATCAGATATATGTTGTTGATCTATGTTAGTAAGTATTCACATAACGATATTATAATCAGATTCCTCACATTACCGAGCGGAACAATCTTGATACCCTTTACTATTACCTATCCACTTTAATTTTGCGTTATGGGCAGATAAAAAATTCATACGTCAAAATATTTATTGCAAATGCAATAAAAACGCAACAAATTAAACTGAGTAAGATTTGAGGTTTTCACGGCGGTGACTATGAAGAATGCCGTGTTCTGGGGTGTGGCGCCGTGTAGATCTAGTGTGAACCGACGTTTCCACATCCCAAAACACGGCATTCTTCAAATTAAACTGAGTATACGACATTTAGGAAAGATTTCGAGAATGCCCCATCACAAACCAATGGCGACGCACG